GTACACGCTGACGTCTTCAGCTCCGAGATTCAGCTTATTCTCGCAAGGCCAGGGGTCCTCACAGCGCTCCACAGACCCCCACACACTCCACACTCCTGATCAGATTCACCACACACAGAGACGGAGGCCGAACGTGGGCGTCGGAGGTTTCAGAGCCGCTCACGCTGAAAAGATCACAATCACTGTTTCAGTGAAGTCAGTAAAAGCGGATAAACGTGTGAAACTCATTTATGAAGCTCCAACTCTACAACTTCACACAGTCCAAATCATTTGTGATAAAAACCTCTAAGATTAATATCCAGAATGAAGTTTTAATAAAATCAGGATCCAGAATAAAATTGTAGTAATATATGTTCAGAATAAAGTTCTAATTACTACATATTTAGACTTTGGAGTGTAAATAAGATACATTTCATAAGTAAATATCAAATTAAGTTCTAATAAAATTGATGTAAAATGAGAATTGTGCATATTTTTAATACATTTTTCTTGAAAGTTTAAGAGCAAGAGTGAGGTTATAGTAAAATTAATAGCCAGAATGATGAAGTAATGAAATGAAAGCATCTAATTACATTGAAATTTTAATAAACATTTATGATCAGAATTGGAAATAAGTTCTGATAAAATTAACATCCAGAAGGAAGTTGTTATGTAATTGATATTCAGAATAAAGTTATAATAAGTTTAAAAATAGTGTTCTGAGTGAAATTCAGTGGTTGCTGTATATAATAGATACTGAATCATCGATCGTTGTGGCTAATTAGTTTGTAGTAGTTATTTAAGGATTCATAGTAGTTACTGAAAAATCCATAATGGTTATTGAATAACTTGTAGTATTTACTGAATACTTTATAGTGTTTATTAAGTAATTCATAGCAATAGAATAATAATATTTAGTAATTAGTTGTAGATATTGAATAATTCATAGTAGTTCCTGAATAATTCATACTAATTACTGAATAATAAATTGTGTTTTCTCAATAACTCATACAAGTTGCTGAATAATTTATAGTAGTGCCTGAATAATTCAGACGAGGTACTGAATAATTCATACTAGTTATTGAATGATAATTTGTGTTTTCTGAATAATTCGTACTGGTTCCTGAATAATTCCTAGTAGTTACTGAGTAATTCATATGTTATTACTGAGTAATTCATAGTAGTTACTGAATAATTCATAGTAGTTACTGAGTAATTCATAGTAGTTCCAGAATGAAATCCAGTGAGTACTGTATAATCCACAGTGCTGAGTAATTCATAGTTGATTGTAATTCAAAATAGATGCTGAATAATTCACAGTGGATACTGTATAATCTATAGTAGGCACTCAATAATACATAGTAACGCCTGTGTAAGTCCTATTAGATCCTGAATAATTCATAGTAGTTATTTGATATTTGGATCAACAGTGTGAGCTGTAGTGGTTCTAAATTGTCCGGTTCTCCAGTTCAGTCTCCTGTAATCTGTATTTCATAGTGAATAGTGTGTTAAAATCCGCTGGATTAACAGTATCTGAATGGGGAAAGTGTGTCGAGTGGCTTTTATCAGTTAGTGTACAGTATGAGTCAGTTCTCTGTTTGGGTTGTAGGCCTGCCAAGAAATGTAATTCCATCACTTCCATCACTTCTCTCTCTCCTCTCTCTCTCTCCTCTCTCTCTCTCTTTCTTTTTCTCTCTCTCTCTCTTTCTCTCTCTCTCTCTCTCTCTCTCTCTTCTCTCACTCTCAGTCTCATCTTTGCTTTCTCTCTGACATCGTCTCTCTCTATTGTCAGCACACAAATCTCTCTCTCTCTCTCTTCCTCAAGTTCAAGTTCAAATAATAATAATAATAAAACAAAATATAAGCCAAGATTAATATATGATAATGTAATAATTAAGAACAGAAAGTGTTAATCATAAATTAGTAATATAAAAGTACATGTAATAATAAAACAAAACCTATTGAATATGTGTGTAGTTTATAATAGAGAAGAGAAAAGAAAATGTTAATAATCAAATGTAGGAAAAAAAAAAAATAATATATATATATATATATATACTATATATATACTATATATATATAAAAAGGACATCTATATTACATACGTACATTTATAACTGTGAGTTAAGGCTGTGGTGTGGTGGTCACTCACTGTCCCGTACACATATCTAGCTGCAGTGGACGCTGCTGTACCCTCTCCTAATATAATCGCTAATTTATCTGTATCTCCCATCGTCCTGAAGTTCTTTATCTGTTTTTCAAATTGGTTAAAATATTTATTTCTAATAGAATCATATTTTGGGCAGTTCAGTAGGAAGTGCACCTCTGTCTCTACCTCACCTGTCCTGCAGTGACCACACACTCTCTCCTCTCTCGCTAGCCAGGACTTTTTAAACCGGCCTCTCTCGATGGCCAGGCTGTGGTCACTGAGTCTGTATTTGGTGAGGATCCGTCTCTGCTTCATATCTTGGACAGTAACAAGATATTCAGCCAATCTATATTCCTGTTTTAGGGCCAGAAAGCAGTTCAGTCTGTTTTGTGAGTGAATTTGGTGTTTCCAGTGTTCCAGGTAGGTATTTTTGTTTGTTTAATAATTTGGTTTACTCTGATTGGTGTTTGGGAAGAAGTGCTGGTCAGAGAGTTTGGGTTGTTGGGGGTCAGTGAAGTGGTCAATCTCTGTACCAGCTGACACAGGGGACTCTTTTCAGGGTTCAGCTCTTGGTATTGGAGTGCCTGAAATTGTAGTGTTGTTTTGGGACTCGATTTAAGGTGCATCCAAAATTTAAGTGTTCTTTTTTCAATGTTCATGATTAGAGGGAATCGGCCTAATTCAGCCCTGCAGGCATTCGTTGGTGTTTTTCTTTGGACGTTTAAAATCATTCTGTAAAATTCTGCATGTAGGACTTCAGCGGGATGCTTGTCACGATGACTGAGTGGACCCCAGACTTCACTACCATACAGCGCGATGGGCAGGGCTACGCTGTCAAAGATCTTTGTCCAGATTCTGATTGGGATATTAATATTGTGGAATTGTTTCCTGATTGAATAGAGGGCCCTGCAGGCCTTTTCTTTCAGTGCATTCACTGCCAGACTGAAGCCTCCTGAGGCACTGATCTTTAGTCCCAGGTAATCGTAGGAAAGCGTTTGATCCAGGGCGGCGTCTCCTAGATTGAACATATATCTGCTTTCCTGAGATCTGGCTTTCTTTTGGAAGATCATGACTTTAGATTTGTTTGGGTTGACTGTCAGGGCCCAGTTCTGACAGTACTGCTCTAGCAGATCCAGGTGCTGCTGTAGCCCCTTTTCAGTGGGCGACAGCAGCACAAGGTCATCTGCGTAGAGGAGAAGTTTAACTTCCGACTGGTTTGGCGTCAGGCCAGGTGTTGCAGATCGCTCCAGTAACACCGCTAACTCATCAATGTACATGTTAAATAGAGTAGGGGACAAGCTGCAACCCTGCCTGACACCACAGCCCTTGAGTGAAGAGATCTGTCATTTTATTGCCAATTTTTATTCCACATTTATTATTGACATACACTGATTTAATGATGTCATAGACTTTACCCCTGACACCGTTTTGGAGAATTGTGTAATATAAACCTTCTTGCCAAATAGAATCAAATGCTTTTTTTAAAATCTATAAAACATGCAAAAACTTTTATTTTGTTGGTGAGTATGTTGGAGTCAAGACGCTGTGTTCGGTAAGGAAGGCCTGTATTCGGGCGTTAATAATACAGCAGAAAACCTTCCCCAGGTTGCTGCTCACACAGATGCCTCGATAGTTATTAGGGTCCGGTTTGTCTCCACTCTTGTAGATTGGGGAAATAAGCCCCCAGCACCAGATCTCAGGAAAGCAGCCGGACTGGAGAACGCTGTTGAACAACGTGCTGAGCTTAGGGCTGCTGCTCTTCAGCATCTCTGTCCTGATGCTGTCGGGGCCGCAGGCTTTTCTAGGTTTAAGCTTTTTGATTTGATGATTTAATTCTTCTAGTGAGATTTGATAATCAAGTGGGTCTTGATAGTTTTTGATACTTAATTCTAGTGTTTTTAATTTGTCTTTAATTTTTTGTTGTTCTGAGTTGAGGCTATCTTGGTCGTATAATTTCTTAAAATGATTTTTCCAGATATTTGGATTGTCTATGGCCAGGTTTTGTGGAGTTTTGTTGCTCAGGTTGTTCCACTGTTCCCAGAATTGATTCTGATCAACGGAATCTTCTATTTTCTTCAGATATTGAACATAATGGCTGTGTTTTTTGTGTCTTAAGATCTTTTTATACTCTCTTAGCGTTTCAGCATAGTTTGAGCGGATTTGAATATTGTGTGGCTCTCTGTGTTTTTGGTTTGATAGATTTCTTCATTTCTTTCTTATTCCTTTACCGTCTTCATCAAACCATTCTTCCTTCTTTGGTTTTTGGTTGTTTGTGGTGTTTGTGAAATTGATGTCTGCTTTCTTAGCTGATTTATAATATATGTCATTGATTTGTGACACAGCCATATTAACACCTGATTGGTTTAATTCAAATGACTCTGATAAAAATGTATTAATAAGGTTATTGATTTCTGGGGAGATAATAGCGGTTTTAAATTTCAGTTCACTGTCGTGATTCCATCTGAGTGTGTTGTTAAATTGGATTGTGTTACAGGACTCATGATTCACTGTTCTGTGTTGACTGATTCTTTTTAGATAAACATTGACCTGACAGTGATCTGAGAGCGGCAGCTGTGGTCTGACAGTGAATGCACTAATAGTGGAGGGGTCCGTGTCAGTGAGTGTGTAGTCGACTACACTGGATCCAAGAGCTGAACAGTATGTGAATCTCCCTAAAGCGTCCCCTCTGATCCTGCCATTAAGAATATACAGACCTGAGGATGGACAGAGGTGCACTAGCTCTCTGCCGTTTCTGTTCAGGACGTGATCAGGACTGTTTCTTTGAGTATTGACGGTGTTTGTGTGAATGGGGGTTTGTTTGAATGTGTATTTGTTGCCAGCAGAATCGATAACGTCACTCTCTGCTCCTGTT